CTCTCAGTCAGGGAAAGACTGCAATAAAGAAGGAGTAACTGTGAACATGTGAGAAAGACCTCAAAACAACAGCATCCTGCTCAAAGGATTTCTATCCTAAACAAGTGTTATCTTGTTACCTCAGAACAAGACTACAAGAATGGAGGTAATTCAGTGTGTTAGAAAACATGAGTTGGTGAAAAAGGAAACTAAGTACAATTTCCTCGCTCTAAAGAGGTATTTGTTTTCTTATTCATGACTTACTTCATAGATAGCTTAATATTTCATATGGTTGTTGTTTATTCAATCAACTATTCCACTTCATTTTAAAACTGAAATCCTTCTGTGAAGGATTTGAACCAAATCTAAAACTCATAGACACAAGAAGTCAGATGGGAAATGTGTTAAGGAATTCGTAGGCTTCATTACTGAGGGGATCTCTTGTGGTTGGTTTACTGTAAAGTGTTTGAGGGGTAAGAGCCTCTAAGTTCTTTATTCTTATGCTGTCCCTGAAGGAGTTAACTGGAAACCAGAGTTCCTGTGACCAGGTAGTCTAGGTTGTAACAAAGCTAGGGAACAGTGGAGACTTGAGAGGAGTGTGATACTGATCCCTGACTCAAAGCAGGTCCACAGTGAGACTCTACTGCTCAGAAAAGAGTTGCCCAATGTGAAATTTCAAACATTTGAAAGCTCAGTAGATCATCTGGAAGTGAATATTTAAACTAACATTGCTAGATCTTAATTTTCAACTGTCAGATTTGAAATTCAGTATGTTTGTATTCACTACATGCATGTTACTTGATTGAATGGAAATAAAAGTATTTCCTAAATTAGACTAAAAAATGAAACTGTTCAATAACTACTGAAAATCTGGTGTGTGAATTCACATCGTGCAAGGCAACAAATTTAAAGGAAGCTGTAGGAAACAAATTATTTAAAGAACTGTGATAGAGCAAGCTGATCACTCTTTACAGAAGAAGTAAGCAGTGTTTCTCTCATTCATCCTAATTCATTCCACCCACTTCTGCTGCTTGAACTTTTCTAATTTTTTACCACTCATTCTACCACTAATCTCACTATTTCCTGACTGCTACCCCAAGCTCCTCTTCCTCTACTTACCCACCTTTACCATTACTTATTCCACTCACTTTTCTTTTCATGCTTTAATTATTTGTGCAAATCAGCAGAGTACATTTTCAAAAAAATATAAATGCTGCTCAGCAGTAATAACAATATTCCTCTAGGTTGTTTTTGGATTATCCCAAAAGCAGGGTTTAAACTCTTAGTATGGAGGTGGCTGTGGTTGAAATACAACTGAAATACAGCTGAATGCTGAGGATGGCTCTGCTTCACCATTAAACTCCAGCAGAACTGGCAGTGTACTATACCAGCACTCGCTATTTCATTAATGGATAATGATGTGTTTTAAGGCTGATACTTCCAATGCAATATAAGGGTTTCGTTGGAAAAAGCAGTTAAAAATTGCATTTTTCCCACCATAACCTGTTCAAGGAGACTCGCAGCATTCTCCTTTTCCTGTTCTGTTCTTGGTTCTTTTACATTCATCTCTTCCAGCTCATTTTCCTGCTTTAAAATATTGTCTATGTATTCCTGAGGGAACAATGAAAAAGAACAAGAAAGATGCAGATGTTATCTTTGCAGAGGTAGACAGTAACATATATAGAGCAAAGAGTTTGTAGAAGTAATGGACATATGTGCTGCTTCTCAATATCATAAAGGCCCTTTCTGTGAATTTGTGTGAGTGCGTTATATAAATATGTAAATGTTTGTATGGAGAAATAATTTTTAAAATCCCAGCAGGTCAAACTGAGGAGTACATGCTGAGAAGGCAGCAGGTGAAAGTTTACCAAGGACTAAGCAACTCTGAAGACTAGCAATACTGTTGAATCTACAAGATCAAATATACTAAGGACATCAAGAGCCTGCTGAATCTTATCAGGCCACTAGCACACATTAGCATCCACGTTGAACTGTGTGGCTTGGACCATACCCAACAGCTATGCAGATGCCCCTGGTCCATCAGTAGACAGACTCCCTGCTTCTGGGGAGACAGGTAGGTTTGGCCTCCCAACTGTTGCACCAGCCAGGCAAGTATAAGTGAACACACGAGAGTTTGAATAAACTATGTGAGTGAATAAAGGAATGTCTTGAGTAAATAGCTGCCATTAATAATAATCAATTATATTATTTCAGCTTAATGAATAAAAGGTGTTGTAACAAACATTGTTTGTGATCTGTATCTCCCTCCCATTTGATCTATTAGGGAAAATGAAATTTACAACATCATAATTGAAAAATTAGCTTCAGAAAAAATTCTGAAGCTCTGTTTTTAGATAGATGTTTACTTTGCCAGAATCACACTAAGTGCTACAGAAAAGAACATTTTTCTTTTCCCGCACTTCTTTATGCTTTAGAAGTTATTCTCTAATTGGTAAGTAATAATAAGTTTTGAACTCTAAAATCTCTTCTAAGAGTGTCTTCACAATGTGAATTAAATAAATCACTGTTTTATACCAATACTGAGGACTAGGATGCTGCTGACAAGTATCAACTGCAGAACTTTCAGATTCCATCTCAGAATACTTGTAACAAGGTGCAAGCTACACCTCATGTGTGAACGAGTCACTCATGAGAGATGGACACACACTTTGCCAGAAGGCTACATAGCTATTTGCTAGACATTGATAGAGTAACAGAACTCAGGAGCTGAACCTGGAAATGTTCTGTACTGATTTATGAAAACAAATACATAACCAAAACTAGAGTGTATTTCAGTGATGTGGTCACCTAGTTAACTGTAGAATTATGGTAGTTTAGAAATTCTTCTACGACTTTTTGAAGTTTTGAAGGCTTTGTGAAGGAAAACAGACCCTTATTGAGGTAAATGCAAAATAACAGATATTAATATTGACAGAAAGAAAACTATTTGTTAGTGTACTATCTGTCATGTGTACTGGACTGGATCCCACAATATTTGCACAGAAAAGCAGGTTCCACAAGAGATGAGTGAAAACAGTTGAACTGCTTCAGAAATATACTCTTCTTAGAGCACCTGTCTATGTATGAAATACTGATTGTTCTTCAAAAGTAGCAGAATTTTTGTCTCAGAGGTATACTGCAAATTCATGTCACCCAACTTGTCTGTTCTCTATTGCTCACTGGAAGAAAGAATAAATGTGACTGTACTACCTTAAGGGAAAGCTGCAGCTTTTCTCTTAGTTCATCATTGAGTGGCTGATACTGGAATAACTGACGGATTTGCAGCTTATTAGGACATTTTCGCACGGGTTCTGGCAAGCACGTCTGCTCTTCAGATCCAATGCAGAGACCTCTCCAGATACATGTTCTGACTGAGGGATCTGCAATCTTCCTCTGAACAGAGACAAGAACAATAGCAAGAGGTTACGTATATTAAACACAGATACTGGCAATGTGTGTCTCAACTGAAAAGCACATGCTCTCCTTACAGCATCTTAGGTCTAGAAGATAAAGTTAATAGATTCATGGGCACAATTTATCTATTTTAAAACTTCTTCATCTGGCAAGATGAATCCCCTTAAAATTACTATATCACCTTACTGAGAGTAGAAGAAGCCCAAGGTGACTATATTTTGCCCTGACACTGCCTGCCCCTTGCTTTGCCTGCTTAACAAACTAAACTTAACAATGTCACCTTGTTTAGAGTTCCAGTACCCCACCCTGTGACAAACACCTATTGCTTAAGCAGCAAAAGAATATTTTGAAACAATTGTACCTCAACAGGAGAAAATGTGTGCCGGGTCTTAGACTGAAGATTTGGAGGAACAATACTCTCTGGTTCTTTCTTCATTACCCAGGGAGAGGCTTCAGCCAAAGGGCGGAGGACAGTAATACTTAAAACATCTGGGTCAAAGACACATTTTGCTAAGAATCAGTTAAAATTCAAAAATGATGGACAAGTGTCTCAGATCTCCAGAAAAAAAATACTTACCTAAGTATAAAAACCCCTTATTATCAAGTGATAAAACTCCAAGTGAAAATGCAATACTTGTGGCTACACATAATATTGGATCACTGAGGTGATTACAGAATAGTTGGACAAGTTCAGTTTACTCAGACCATGTTTAACAACAGACTGCCTATGCTGCTTGCTTTGAGTCTTAGATAACAGTTATGTGGAGTATCCCAAACAAGCAAGTGCAGACCATTGACCTATGTTTACGGTATACTAATCTCAGAAGTACATCATATGCAGAACATGCAAAATTCTTCACTGTATTTTATACTTTGCAACCTGATCACTGGATGGATTCTATTAGAGATGATTTATTATATCTTTTTATTTTTCTGATTAATTTTAATGTCCTTCAAAACATTTTTCCAGTGTAACCCAAAAATCTACTTAATCTACTATTATCTGCCCCATAGGTGGCCTAGTCAACATCAGAGTATCATTGTCTCCATTGATAAATAGAGCTATACGATTAATGAAGACTGTGATACTGTGATATATTCAAAGTTTTTTGATGGTAAATACACAGAGAATCTATGCATTTGGTAATTGCTTTTGTTTGCATGTCTGAGAGTGGACAAAGATGTGCCAGTCTGTTCACTTATCCCTTCACAGTGTCATTCAGTTAATTCTCTGCTTCCCAGAGTATCCTACAAGCTCCTTCTTCCCCATGCTTCACTACCAGAAGTTCTATTTTCAGTTTGTCAGAAATGAAATAAAATTGTCCTACCTGGACATTCTTGGACAGGATCCTGCAAGATAGCAGCAGCAGGATCCCTACAGACTTCAGCAAGATAGTCGTGTACATCTCTGCTCCGCAGGATCTCAGTTCCAGAACCATCTGGGTAGATGGTGAAGAACCTACATAGCCAGCCACACACATTGGATCATATCAGATATAGGAGGCAAGGTGTTAGGCTGCCCTTCTGATCCCGGCTGCCGAGTGAGGAGCGGCCAGGGGCTGCCTTGTGCTGCACACAGACAGTTCCAGCCATCTCCAACAGACCCACTGCAGGACACGGCTGAGCCTCACAGCCAAGACGGTGGTGCAAAATGCTGCACAGGTAGTGACAAGTGAAGGAAAAAGTATGAGAAACAGCCCTGCAGACACCAACGTCGGGGAAGGAGAAGGGGGAAGAGGTGCTCCTGGTGCCAGAGCAGAGATTCCTCTGCAGCCTGTGAAGGAGAACATGGTGGAGCATGTATTCCCCTGCAGCCTGTGGACAGCTCCACACCAGTGCAGGTGGATATTTCCTGAAGGAACTGTAGCCAGTAGAGAGCCCATGCTGGAGCAGGCTTAACAAAAAGGACTGGAGCCCATAGGAAGGACCCACAATAAAGCAGGGGAAAAGTGTGAGGAGGAAGGAGCAGCAGAGAGGAGCTGTTATGGACTGATCGCAACCTCCCATTCGCTGTGCTGCTGGTCAGGAATAGGGCAGTGATGTTGAGCCAGAGAAGAAGAGGGGATGGGGAAAGGTGTTTTAGTTTTCATCTTTGTTCCTCACCATCCAATTCTATTTTAATTGCCAATAAATAAATTAATTTTCCCCAAGCTGAGTCTATTTTGCCTGTGACAGTAATTGGAAAGTGATCTCCCTATCTTTATCTTGGCCCATGGCTTTTTGCATCTTATTTTCCTGCCTTGTCCTGTTGAGGCCGGGGAGGGAGAGAGCTGGGTGGGTGTTTGGCAGCTGGCCAAGGTCAACCCACCACATTGATCAAATGCAATGGCTTTCAAATGGCATTATTTTCTAGATGACAAAAATGAAAATGTACTGTGATGACACGACAAGAAAACAGAACTCCATGATGATGACATCAAATGTGCAAATACAGAGTACTGAACAGAGAAAGCACAAATCTACAAACTCTGTACAAATACAGTATAGCAAAGAGAGAAATCCAGTGCAGTTTACCTGGGGACATGCTCATCGTAAGTGATAGGTTTGTTAACTTCTGGGAGCGCTGATGTTGAACTTCTCTCTTCCTTGTCATCAGAGCCAGTGCTAGGAACACACACAGATGTGCTGCCATCAGCCATGACCTATAACAGAAATTATATAAAATGACTTGAGGTACATGTTACATTTAAAACAGTAACCTGCTGCTGAACTGTAATATGACCAAGCCAAGTGAAAGAGACAGAAAAAACATATTTCAGGTTGAGCAACAGGAAAAAGAAATTAAGAAAGAAACAGAAAAGACAGTGAAAATAGCACACATTTCTAGAAAGACATGCCATATCATAAATGCTAATATCACATGCTAATACTAATAAATGCTCAAAGATGGTTAGTTGTCAGACAGGGCCATCCATGCTTATATTCCGTCTTCAACATATATCTGCAGGCATCAACAGGCAACTTCATGCAAAAATATTCACTTGCTGGTCAAATCAGGTAACTGTATATTCGGGTACTGATGTACCTCTGTGAGGTATATATGTATCTATGCATATATACCTACACACACAGATACAAATATATAGACATAATTATACATGTTATATATATTATGTCTACATGCTAATCTTAGTTAAAAATTGCAAAATACATACATGTATGCTCATATATCAGTGTATATATAAATATAAATGTTTTTGTATATCTATAAGTGTGTATATACATACAGGTGTGTGTGTATATATAGGTACATAGATGATTGTATAAATATACACTGCTATATAGACACATTTGTATACATGTTGATGTATGAAGAGATATAAATTATATATATGCATTATATATATTTATCTAACTACCTATAAAAAACTGGTGTATATATCATGGTGTATATATGCATGTATAAATATATACACATCTATGTACACATTGATATATGAAGAGATATAGATAGATATATAAGTATATATGTATAGAGGGGTACCTTTTTAGGCATTTATCCACTTTAAAAACATGGTCTTATATAATATGATAATACCGAGTAAATTTCTACAGTATTTAGTTCTTGTGGCTATTAACTTACATGCCATTAGTACACGCACACAAGGTATAATAATGCTTCTAACTCTTACTGTAGTCAGTTGAAGGACAGATACCTTTGGAAGACACAGTTTAAACCAGAGTCATTCAAAGGGTGGTCCATGGACTGAATCTGACACACCCAGTCCATGCCCATTTTGCTGTAGCCTCAGGTGTGACTAGGACAGCGGAAGAACCAGTCCTATTACACCTGTACCTGGTTGCCATCCCTACCAACCATTAATCTCATCTTGCTTACTACAGCCTCCCATGTCCCCTGTGACCACTGCTCCCACAATACCTTCAACTGCCCCACAGCCTCCTCAACCTCCTTCCTTTGTTCCCCAAGTATCAGCTGACAAAAAGCAGGACGTGCTGATGCTGATGCCAAGGAACTCCTGTGCTCCTTTGAATTGCATTGATTTTGTAAGAACTTGATATATTTGAAATTTCCACCCCTCTGTTGATCAGTTCAAAATTTGTTATGGAGAGATTAACAGATAGCATAGCTTTATATGAGGACTGTTTCTTCAGACTAGGAAACTAGGTTAAAAACTGTATTATAATGCATATGGCCAGTGGAACCTCAGTGCTCTTTCACAGGAATCTGGGAAAATGGTAATGATTACCATTGCAACAATAGGAAGTACACTCTATGGATGTCACATTTAGAATCTTTAATTAGAACCTTTAAATAGAAAACAGTATGTAGGTCACAGACATTTAAATGATGTTTCCTGAACTCAGAACTCCTAGCCTAAAAATAACTCTTACGTGTGAAAGGATCACAGCATAATCAGTACGACTTTGAAGACTGAATGATTCCTTTTACAACTATACTTGCCTTACCAGGCAGATTAGCTTGTTTCTATAGACCTTTTGAAAAGCCAACATCCTCTCTCATTTTTAATGCTCATTTGCAGAGATGATTTTTCACTACAAGACAAGTCATGCTAATTAAGGTAATTTTACAGGTGAGATAAACTAGAGATCATGTGTTTTATTTCAATCTCTCCAAAAAGAGAGAAATACCAAAAAAGGGAAACCTATCACATCCTCATTAACATTTCAGAAGACTGTTCCTTCTGGCTAGCTAGCCCACTTTAAGAAGTACTACGTGGCTTCAAGCTGACTTTAAGAGATGCTTAGAAGAGAAAATAACTTAAAATGTAGAAACTTGTTTCCTTCCATGTATTTTACCTTGAAAATATATCCTTTGGGATCCATCATCTCACAGATAGTGCTGGAAGTGTGTTTCATAATGTATCTCCCTGCTTGTTTTTCTTCTTTCCTGCTGATTAAATTGTAAACTTCGTGGGTATAAACTGCTGAGCAATCTTCATCAATGAAAAGAGAGCCTGTCTTGATGGGTAAAACCTATCACAGTAAGAAGGAAAGAGGTTCAGTCCTGAAAGGTGAAATCTTCAGTTTAGAGGTACCACAAAAATGAAGAACAGATGCAAATAAAGAGGAGAGCTCTCAGACCTTTACTACTGAGTCATTCAGTTTTGATGAACTAGAGGGAAGATGAGGTACAGGAGTTAGGCTAATATTAGTCTCTGTAATACTTTCTTTACCTCCAGGAAACTTAAGCTTGTGATTTAAATATACTATACAGTTGTGAGGAAATATCATAGAATATCTCAAATTGTAAGGGACCCATAAGAATCATCAATTCCAACTCTGCTCCTTACAGGACTACCTAAAACCAAACCATAACTCTAATGTCATCCAGACGCTTCTTAAATTCTGACAGACTTGGTGCTGTGACCACTTCCCTGAGGAGTCTGTTCCAGTGACCAATCACCCTCTCAATGAAGAGCCTTTTCCTAATGTCCAATCTGAACTTCCTCTGACACAACTTCATTCCATTTCCTCATGTCCTATCACTGGTCACCAGAGAGAGATCAGCGCATGTCCCTCTGCTGCCCTCCCCTAAGGAAGTTATTGACTGCAATGAGGTCACCCCTCAGCCTTCTTTTCTTTAAGCTGGACAAACCAAGTCACCTCAGCCACAACTCCTAAGTTTTGCCCTTGAGACCTTTCATCCTCTGGACACACCAATAGTTTGATGTACTTCTTATATTGAGGTGCCCAAAACTGCACACAATGCTTGAGATGGGGCTGCACCAGTGCAGCGTAGAGTGGGACAATCACTTCCCTCAACCAGGTACCTATGCTGTGCTTGATGCACCCCAGGACATGTTTGGCCCTTTTTCCTGCTAGGGCACCCTGCTGACTCATATCTAACTTGCCATCCACTCAAGCCTCTGCATTTTTTTCCATGGGGCTGCTCTCCAGCTTCTCGTCCTGCAATTTGTAAGTAAAACCAGGATTACCTCATCCCAGGTGAAGAAATCAGCCTTTGCACTTGTTAAATTTCATATGGTTGGTGATTGCCCAGCTCTTTAGTCTATCCAGATCTCTGTAAGGCCTCTTTGCCCTCGAGGGAGTCCACAGCTGCTCCTAGTTTAGTATCATTGTCAAACAAACTTAATGTACGTTCCATTCCTTCATCCAGATAATTTATAAAACCATTAAGGAGTACTGGCCCCAAAACTGTACCCTGGACAACCCCACTGGTGACTGGCCACCAGCCTGATGTAACTCCATTTACTGTAATTCTTTGAGCCTGACCTATCAGCCACCATACTGTAGACTTGTCTAACTGTGTGCTAGATGTTTGTCCAGAGGGATACTGTGAGAGATAGTATCAAAAGCTTTATCAAAATACAAAAAACTCCACATCTACTGGCTTCCCTTGGTCAACTAGATGGGTGAAACTGTCATAAAAGGAAATTAAGTTAGTTAGGCAGGACCTGCCCCTCCTGAACCCGTGGCTGGCTATGACCAATTACTGTATTGTTTCACAACTGTTTTTCAATTACTCCCAGAATAATCTTCTTCATAATTTTATCAAGTAGTGAAGTGAGATTGACTGGCATGTACTTACCAGGATCTTCCTTCTTACCCTCCTTGAAAACTGAGACATTTGCCAGCTTCTAATGTCTAAATATTGGCAGAGTACAAAAGGGATTGAATCATAAGATTTGTGAAGGCTAAAGAGAAGAGAGTTAAAATAGCCAAGGTGAGAGACACTGATGGCAGGGAACTTAGAACACAAAGGTACATTTCACTGTCACAAACAAAAATTAATTCGCACCTGATACGTTCCCTGAGGCTTTGTTATAATAGATGTCCCGTCTCCAAAGATAGTACAACAGGTACCCTCCTCACAATTTGTTACAACAGTAGCAAACTCGGGATTCTCTACTTGCACACATTTCACTTTCCTTGTGATGGCTTCCGAGGGTTCATCTAAGAATTAATACAGAAGAACTAGACAGGAGGTCATGAACCATAGAGAAGCCTTAGGATTCAATTTACTTTTTCTCTCATAAGGCTGGACCTTCATCTCCCCAGCAAAAGACCCTCAGACTTCATAACATCCTCTGTCACAATTTTATGTTAGGTAAACAATATGCAATCTCCAAGTTTTTGGACTGTGCACTTAAATATACGAAAATCCAACAGCAAAAAATGACTGAAACCATCTCTGGATGGTGAGGTCGGGAGAGTACTCTCAATTTATCGAGTACAATACTAACCATAATGATCTGGACATTTTTAACATAAAAGTTGGACCACTGAAATTTTTTATGCCTGTGATACAAGCTTTTGGATGTGAAGAAATTCCTTTTTCAGCAGCAGAAGTCAGGGAAAATTAATCAAACTGCCATGTTATTATGGACATTGCCTTCCCACTGAATAAATAAACAAACCAGTTCAAGATCGCTGCTTTGATGTTTAAAACCTCACAGGGAGGTGTTCCACAACTAGAACTTTCCACTGTGTTTGAACACAACAGTCTTGACACTCACACAGTAACTATACACTTCATATTAATTACAGAACCTATACAGCAACTGAACTAAGCATACAGGATATATTCCCAGCCAGAAGAAACACAATTAGTCCCACTTGTTTCAGGTGAATGTAGTTACACTTCTACTAGGTGTGGCATTTTTCACAGCCATATTCAATCAGATTTTGAATACCTCCAAGGTTGGTGAGTCTATGACCTCTGCAGAATATGACAGGCCCTGGTTCTTATACACCTATTCAGTTAAGACTCAATCAGTCTGCTTGTTGTATCAGGGTAGGTGGAGAGCAGGCAATGAACATATTAGAACTCAGGCACTGTAGTCTCATGGTGAAGGTGGGCCATATAAGCATATATATGGAAAGAAGGGAATTTGTTTTGTTTGCTACAATGTAATTTTTGCACTGAATACTGAGGAAAAATAGACCAAGCAGACAAACTAAGCCTAGGCTGCCCTAATTGATTTGTTATCTATGCTACTGATATGAGCCACCTTTGGTGTATTTTGACAATTGCCTGCTTCACAAGATACAGCAGAAATGAGTGCTCCCCTTTAGATTTTACCTGTTTTCTCACTATCCTCTGGTACAAAACAGTCTTCACAGTTTCGATAAAAAGTTGTGATCCTAGTACCATCAGCATGATCTACTACTCTGCTACCATCCAGCTTCTCAACAATTATCACATCATCTTCTCGTACAGTCATAACCTGAAAGAATGAAGGAGTATTCATTTATGTTAGCTCTGTAACATATGTAACAGGACTAACAGTAAAACAAGGCATTATGTACTGAAACTCTGATAAAGCTAGATTACTGCAACTTTATCTACTTTGGAGACCAAGGACTCACATTTTCTTCAAAATCTAAAGCTTTTGTATTAGTAACTGTGTAATAACACAGCCTGGAGGATTTATGTTCAAAGAACAAATCCTACAACTTACATGACAGTAGCCTTGCCTCTTAGTTTAGTAGACAGTGCTATAATCACACAGAAATAGTAATACCGTTCCATCAGCTGGGTCAGTTGCGTGATAGAATAAGAGTGGCTTCAGATCCATTCTCTTTCCTCCCTCAGTGCCCACTTGAATGCCTGATGGAGTTGTTGTTATCCAGGTTCCTGCCTGATTCTCCTTAGGTTGCTCAGAATTAACCAGATCCTGTTCAGTATTTTCAAACTCATTCTTGCTTGGGCGTGATACAATTTTTTTGTCACTGCCTTTTCCTGCAGTAAGAAAAACTTCTGTATCAGACTTGGTATTCTCTAAGGCAAAAGACAAAATCAATAAAGTGAATAGTTTCTGTGAGTATTGGTTTTGACAGAATTGAAAGAACTGTTTATCAGGCTAGAGGAAAATGACAAGGTGTGCTCTTGAGCTAATCTTATTTAATGTGTTCATTAATGACACAGAAAAAGTAAACAGTGTGCTAACGACATCTGATTATGACATAACTTTGGAAAGGACTAATGAAATGCAAATGAAAATTTGAATGGATTACAGAAAAAAAAGCATCCAAAACTGTTCCATGAGCTTGAAGATTAAAGTAATAGGAATTTGATACAGCCTATTAGAATGAAATCTAATGCAAAAAGAAATAAAAATAATTTACACTTCATACAAATTTGCAACTGCAGAAGAAAATAAAGACCTGGAGGTATCATTCCTACAGAATGACTACAAGTTATCAGTGTGAAAACATGGTGACAAGAAAGGCAAACAATCCTATGGTGTATCAGAAGAAAAGGGATGGAGATTCCATTGTGAAAGGTAATGGAGAGGTCTTATAAAGAATATGATAGAGAACTCTGGTCTGCCATATTCAAGAAAAGGAACTTAGACTAAGTGTATGCAAAAAACAACAGCATAGTCCAGAGAGGAGTCTAAAAGGCTTACAGCATATACATCCTAGCAATAAAAAAAAAAAAGCCAAAACAAGATGAAACTTTTCACTATAAATTTGTCAAGACTAAGCAGGGGAAAGGAAAGGTGTGTGTGGGAAAGTGATCATAAAGGATAAGGAATAAAGGATATACACTGGCCACGGACACTGAGACTGAAAATTAGGAGATGGTTTGCCAGGCAAGTTCTCAAACATCCTTCCAGTTACCCTAAGGAATATCCTAAGAACAAGGATTGGACTTGATGACTTGAAAGTCTCCTTTTTGAGAGACTTTTCTCTTTGGCAGCAACTTTTATTCAGATAATTCCAAGAAGTTATATGTTAATATTATGACAGGTCATAATTATTCTTTGCACTAAGTAGCACTGACAGTGATCTTAGACTACAGTCTGAGGTATGAAGTAAAGTTTTATTTGGTTCTTTCTTGGTCACAGAAAGTGATGTAAGAATGATTATACTGGGACAGATCACAGGTCCATACAACCAATTAATAATTACCAGTAGCAAGTGCCTTGGAATACATACAATGAGAAGGAAAAATACAGTAAGTCCTCTGTGAGAGAAGCATTTCTCAATACCAAGACTAAAAACTATGTAACACAAGTAAGGATTTGACACTACTGTAGTTACAAGGATTTATTTTAAAATACTTTGATTTTAATCACTCTGCTACCAATGCAGTTCTTACACACCTTTTTATTTATTAGAGTCCTAGCACGTTAGAAGAAAAAGAAATCTGGAGTAGGAGAGAAATTATTTGATACAAATGTAACAAATTAGCAACATGCAGAAACTGAGTTCAGATAAAAATGCATTTTCACACAATTTTCAGACTAAAGAAATACACCCTTCATTAAATATCATCAGCTCTGCTAACTTTAAATCTGTCCAAAACTGAAAATGTTACCTTTCTTAGTGCTGATCTCTGGTGAAGGCTCCAATTCCGGTAATGGTTGCACGTTATCTGGAATTGTAGGTGGTGGTAGAACAGGGCCAGAATCAGGACTGCTACTCACTGTGCCATCAGCAAACAAAATCTACAGCAACCAAGGACACACTAGAGGTTAAAACATCAATAGAAAGTCTCAAAAGAATGTGCCACAGGAATGTGTCACTAGAATATTGTGGATGATGGAGAGGAAAAAAGTAAAAGACTCTCAAAATGAAAACAAGAAATAAAGAAGCTATCTCAAAAAGAAAGGACTACTGATTGCTGAAGTTCACATATATAATTAATGAGGACTTTAGTAATAAATAGGCATTATAAAAGTAAACAGTAAAGAGAATTCTTTGACTATTTTAGTGGTCAAAGGCTGATGACTTTTTGGTAGCAGTGGCAATGCACCTATATCACCATACTGATTTGTATTCAGGTATTCCACATGTCTAGGACTGCTGTTAATTTTTTAGCCATCAGAAAGAAATCATGGCTATCTTACTGTAGCTGGTTTCTGAGATCCATCTAAACATATTCTACAACATGTTCTACAAAACATACCTTGGTTGATCCATCCATCATGTACTTTATGACAGTTCCTTGACCGGTGATGACTCTTGACACCTCTTGTTCTGTTTGCCTTGCCACAGATGTATATAGATGAGCGTTCTTTACCTTTTGGGGATAACTCTGCCTAACCAGAATTTCCAGAGTAGGCTGTTTGGCCTGTTCTCTTTCAGTGTCTTCATGCTTTATTTCATCTTCTGTAACCTCATGTTCCTTCTCTTCACTTTCCATAACTTCTTCCTCCTTTACTTCATTTGCTTTGGTCTCACTTTTCTCAATCTTCCCTTCCTTTGCTTCTGCTTTGGCCTCCCTTTTCTTTACCACCTCTTTCTCAGCTTCAGCTCCAGTGGCTCCACCTTTCAAACCTGAAAATAAGTTCTGAATTACTTAATACTGTGTAGTGCACATTCAAACAGTGCTAAACACCAGCATCATGATGTCCACAGAAGACATGAAACTTTCAGTGAGTAAGACTAACCCTCCTTGGCTTCCTCTGTAATTCACAGAGTAAGGGACAGACTCTGTTTTTCAGAAAACAATTCAAAGCAGTCATCTACTCAGAAACTCTCCGTTCTCCTGTGGAGGTGTCTGTCTTTCCAAATGAAAACAAGGGAAATTAGAAGATGGATTTATTATGGATTCTGAACTTTTGGAAGACTGACATTAGGTGAGGGGAATTTCCTAACTGCCCATAAAGGTGAAAAAAGTAACTGAGTTTCACAAAGTTTGAATTTGTATAGAAACTGAAGTTAGCTATTTTCTCTATTTGAACAAATAAGATTTTTAGATTAAATTAGGGCAGTGTATTGAGCGTACTAATGAGTATAAATTATGGTAGTTGTGCCAAGAGACTACATGTGTTTGTCCATAATTGCTCTGTTCACCTCAATTATTCAGCATTTCAACTCATACTCCTTGTCAAATAGTATTTTCACTTACTCAGTAGCTCAAATACAACCTGGGCTGGACAGATTTGTTGTATACAGGCATTAAATGACACCTGTAGGTAGCTGTTTTTAAAACTGACCAGATGACAATAGCAAAATTCACATTTGTCCGATTCAAAACCTAATGGTGTGACTACAAAAATCCAAGATTTACTACAGTTTACAGTGTGCAAAGATTGACCTTGTGTTGGTGTTAAAAAACACTGAGAAATGGAATCACTGCAGAATGATATCACACACAGAAACTTAAAAGTATCTATATAGCCTGTAGGTTTTCAGAAGGAAATTCAGCTATAAGGGTAGAGAGGCTTGTTACGACTGTCTTCTCTGTATGTACCAGATGGCATAAACCAATGGACTTAAGTGAAGAAATTCCTGTTTGAAACCGATCATATCTTTTAGAAAGGCAACAAAACCTGATTGTAAAATATCCAGTAGCAGAGAGTCCATCTCATCCTGGGTTAGTTTTGTTAATCATTCTTACTATTAAAAAATGAGTATAACTTAAAACTAGTATAAAGTACTACTTTTCAGCTTCAAGCCTCTGAAATTTGTAATACCTTTGTATATGGTGCTTATAAGCTATCACCAAAATTCTGTTTCCTTTCTACTTCCAGACTGGCACCAGTCACTCCTTTGACCTTTTCTTTGGTAATTAATTTGACATAAGCTCACTATAAGATACATCTTCCAATGCTTTAATCATCATTATTGTCACTCTTCCTTGAACCTTTCAAAATATGAACATCTTGTCTTGTGGAATTAAGAACAGTACATACGATTCCAAATGAGGTGCAGATAAAGGCAACATAACAATCTTCCTGTTATCACTCAAGTTTCCTCAATATATATGCATTGATGAATTGAATGTGCTCATTTTTCTTTAGTATTTCAATATACATGCATATTTAACTGATGATCCAACATGACTCCCAAGTGCTTTTTAGGGTTGCTGCCTCCCTGCCTCAAATCTGTTATGTCCAAGAACTTATAATTCTAGATTTTACATTTGTTTGAAATAAAACACACTATTTATGTTGCAAATACTATTAAATAGACATTATGACAGACTTAGCAATCTGAGACATTAAAAATTTATATTGTTATATCTAAAGATTAAAGCAGAAATAATTTTCTTCTGTAATTTTAATTTCTTTTAAAATTCCTTACTTTGCAGTGGCTCAGAATACTAACCTCCAAAACTTTCACCAATGAAAGTTAATACTAGTCCATTGGGACAAGAGACGTTCAAACTTGGGAAAGCAGGAGCATTTGACATCACTTGTGTCTGGGAAGTTGTTTCTTCCATTTCCACCTCAAGAATGAAACATGAATTAGTTTTATTCCACATTTTAAAAGAATGAAGAAAAAATGAGACTACAGATTTCAGTTGTAACAAAACCATTTCCCCATCAGTCAATGTTTCTAGACCTCTGATCTCTCTTGGTGATTTCCTTAGAACTCTCTAGTGTGGCCAGCATTTTTCTTGCAGTGCAGTATCCATAACTTGACACAATACTTCAACTGAGGCCTTACCAGCCCTGAATGAAAAATAACTTCACATATTTAACATGCTCTACTCTTGTTTATTCACCTCAATGTAGTCTTTGCCCTTCTCACAGCAAGATGGCATTGTTGACTTATGTATAGCTTATGATCCGCTGGAACTCTCAGACCTCTGTAGAACTATTATTGTTAGAACTGTCACTCATTCTGTTCATATATATTGATCATTTATATGTAACTGTAGAACCTAGCATTTATTCTTACTGAATTGCATCTTATTTTCCAGATAGTTCGCTTTGGATTTTAATCCTGTCCTCCAGAATATTTTTGCAGACTCACACAGCTGGGTGTTTGCACTAACATGGATACTCTCTTTCAGAGTTTTTATTAAAATACGAAAAATAGATGAAAGACATTGTAAATTAAATAGTAAAAAGGCTTTTGGAAGAAAAAGAGGAACTTAGATGTCCTGACATAATTTTAATGGTAGGGGAAGTTGTTTATGTAGGGTTCGTTTGTACCACACAATTGCTATATGTTACGCTGAGTGTTGTTTGGCAACTCCCTACATCACTTGCATAGCAAGAGTGATTTTGAGAGAAGTGGCCAAAGCAACTCGAGTACACAAAAGACCAATTTTTCAAGATATAGCTCTGAAAAAGAGACAATCAGATCTTTAGACCTGAAGTGGTGATTTTTTTTCAGGGCAGTGCCCTAGAAAGCAGTAACAAGAACTGAAGTAGAGTTTCATGAAATGGCTCTGGAATTGGAAGCCACTACAGTTGGATCGACTAGTGTTAATTTTCCATGGAGAAAGTCTGAGGAACAGGACAAAAGGGAAGACAGTGTAGAAAAAGATGGCAGATGTGGTACCACTCATGTTCCCTACGTAACACACATCATCCTGTGGAAGCAGCAGAACATAAAAGGGAGGAATAACTGGGTTAATGGAAAATAATTGTTCATGAAAATTATTATATGCAGTAGATCGGACTTAAAATTTGGCTAAAGGTGAGAATCAGGACATTTTATTAGCAGTTCTCACTGCATCATTGTAACAATACTTAATTAAAGATGGAACCAAGTAGGGAGGAAAATTAACACACCACTATATCATTTAAACTTTGTTTCAGTTAGTCTTGAAAGATAGTAAGAAACACACACAACAAGCACATTATCTCGAAATGTTACTGTTTGATCAGGTTAAAAGGGATAAGTTTTTTATCATAAATATCATTAAAGAATTTTCCCAGACAGTATATTTTAGATTTCTAGTGTTACACGAAACTGCTTACAGACCTCATTGCTTTGTGTTCTGATTACTCCTATTTTCAGAAGACTGTCCTTTCCTAAACTGAAGGTGGTAACTACATTGGCTCACAATAATCAAGTTAATTTCTGTCCTTCTCCTAGAGTTTGCTTGTATTTTAATTGTGTCCATTTCTGGGACACTGTTGGTTGGAGAAAACAGTGTAAAAAAGGAAAGATGTTAAATCATCTCAAACAGAAAACTCCTGCGTCCACTTCCACCATCCTGCTACTAATTCCTCTCATATTCCTTTGAGAACCTTTCCTGTTACTCATACCCTGGCTGATCTGTGAGAGCACTGGATCAAACAACCCTCCAGTGACTGCCTAAAATATTCTGTCAATAGTTAGCTAATGACCTGAAGTAAGCTAGATTAGGCATTTTGCAGCAGGGAACTGTGACCCATTTGTGAACAGATACAGCCTTCCCCACTCACACGTTTTTATGCAAAAAAAGCTTCTCATAGAGCTTTGTGGAAGATGTTCAAGATTAAATGCTATGCATTTCAGATACAGATGGTCCTGTAATTCCTGTATTATTCTGTGTTAAGAATTCCATAACAGAAATTCAGAATCTGCTTTTGAAAAGTCATCCATCCTTTCATAAGGACTGTCCTGTGATAGAACTACTTCAGCTACAGGCAAAAGTAACTTCCTCAAGTCCCTGCCTTGTGATCAGCTAGAAAGACGTAATTGCAGAGCAAGCTTTTGCAAAACTGTCTCAAATAATTTACTGGTTTGTTAGAATTTCCAATACAGGTTTTGGAAAGCAGAGAAACATTCTCCTACTTGGTTAACCTAAAAATTAGTTTCTAGAGCAGTTTTATTCACTGAGATATTAATAATATAAAATGTGTATCTGTAAAGCCAAAATTGACAAAAGTATGTGGACCATGGAAGACACACTGCTTTTCATCACAGAGTCATAAGGGCTAGCTTCATTAGCAGCTGCCAAAACCTACATCTGAGAATAACTGGAAGAGTAAAACATGTCCTTAAAAGCACCATAAACTGTTAGGAATTTGTTAAGACACAGCTTAAAGCCCTCTCAGAACCATCTATGTCTCTGTTATGTAAGTTTGTGTATTTGAATTTTTGTTTGTTACTTTTCTGTGTTCATTGGATAATATCTATTCTCCCACCTTTTCTTCTTCTTGCTTTACAAGGTCATCAGGTGTTGGAGGGCTTGTTTTGAGACTGCTTGCCTTTGTAGTTGGCAGAGATTTTCCTGATTTTTGTTTGACGGACTTATCTTTTTTTCCTGAAGCTGATGTAACAGGAGAAATTATGGTCGGAATATGAACAGAAGGGATGTTCAGAATTCTTGCTAAGACAGGATCTGTTTCATCATCTAAGGAAGGGAAAAGCATAGTTCTAATGCAATTAAGTTCCGTATATATAAATGGCCACATTTTATTTTTAACAAGATTTTGTACATTAAATTTTACTTTACAAATAATAACTTCAGTGGAGGAGTTTATTATATCAGACAGAAGGATTGAATATATGAAATTATTTAGAAAATCTTTCCACAGACTGACTGCTTGTCAGCCTATAAGGTACCTTGAAACTATTGTTTCCCACAGGTCATCACCTGTCTCTCAAAACCAAAAAATACAATTTTTTAAAATTATCTTTTCCTTACATAAGTGGAGACATTTTGAGTCTAGTATCTAGAAAATGATCACTGTTGTTATGCTTTGTCATGGGCTAGTCCAGCACAGTTTTGCACTACATAGTTCTATTTTGCTATAACGATTCAGATAGATTCTGATGATCTAGACTTGTTACGATTCTCCTGATTCTTAAAGGCCAAAAATGAGTTGCTAAGTTTCCAAAACGGTTTCTTAAAAATAAAATTAATATAAACAGATTTTCTGTAAAACATTTTTGTTTCAATGAACTGACAGTTCTCTTTAATCAGAAAAATCCAGTCAGCTCTAACCTTAACATCTTTTTGAAAGATTTTTTTTAATCATCTTTTTTTGCTGAAAGACAGCCTATGTCCCAAACCTACAACTCATGAAACAGCACCTTGTTTCCTATCCAGGCAATTTAAGCAACTGAATTCTTGTTTGTTTTGGAGAACAGATGAAGCAACTTATTATCCACATCTTAACCACACCCATACAGATAAGAACTGAAAACACCAGTGAGCAAAACACGACGATATCAGAAACCATCTTTTGAAAACCTTTTTAAACTAAATAAAACCAGCTTGATTTGCTTAGTAGTTTCTACGAAGTATGAAGTGTAATGACATCAGTAATTTCAGGAATGTCTTTAGGAAGACTTCAAAAAATTTTTGTTTGTTTTGGTAAAATTGCATTTTAATTCTGCTTCTTCCAATGAACAATATTATTTAATTTGAAAACTGATACACCAAGCAAAGAAAAGATTAACTCATGGACAAACTGCAAGCCAGATCACATTCAGACAAAAAGGAGCAGCTGAGAGATTTGGGGTTGTTTAGTCTGAAGAAAAGGCTGAGGGGAGCCCTCATACCTCATTGCTCTCTGCAACTACCTGAAAGGAGGTTGTGGAGAGGTGGGCATGGGTCTCTTCTCACAAGTTACAGCCAATAGGACAAGAGGAAATGGCACCATAAGTGAAGATCAGGTTTGAAACCATCTGAAGAACCTGAAGGTGCACAAGTCCATGGAACCTGACGAGATCCATCTGCATGTCCTGAGAGAACTGGTGGATGAAGTTGCAAAGCCGCTATCCATCATATTTGAAAAGTCGTGGCAGTCTGGTGAAGTCCCAGCTGACTGGAAAAGGGGAAACATAACCCCCATTTTCAAAAAGGAGCTAAAGGAAGACCCAGGAAACTGTCAGCCAGTCAGTCTCACCACTGTGCCTGGCAAGATCATGGAGCAGATCCTCCTGAAGGCTCTCCTAAGGCACACGGGGAATGAAGATGTGGTGACTGGTGGTAACCAACACAGTTTTACCAAGGACAAGTTGTGCCTCACCAATCTGGTGACCTTTTATGATGGAGTTACAGCTTTGGTGAACAAGGGAAGAGGAACTGACATCATCTACCTGGACTTGTGCAAAGCATTCAACACTGTCCCGCATGACATACTGGTCATGAAACTGGAGAAACATGAATTTGATGGATGAACCACTTGCTGAATAAGGAATTGGCTGAATGGTCGCACTCAGAGTTGTGGTCAACTGTTCAATGTCCAAACGGAAACCAGTGATGAGTGGTGTTCCCCAGGGACTCGTACTGGGACCGATACTGTTTAACCTCTTTGTCAGTGACATGGACAGTAGGATCGAGTGCACCCTCAGCAAGTTTGCAGATGACACCAAGCTGTGTGGTGCGGTTGACACCCTGAAGGAAGGGATGCCATCCAGAGGCACCTGGACAGGCTGGAGAGGTGGGCCTGTGAGAACCTCATGAAGTTCATCAAGCTCCAGCACCTGAGCAATCCCAAGCACAGATACAGGCTGGATGGAGAATGGCTTGAGAGCAGTCCTGAGGAGAAGGACTTGGGGGTGTTGGTCGATGAAAAACCCGGCAATGTGGGGTTGCAGCCCAGAAGGCCAACAGCATCCTGGGCTGCATCAAAAGAAGTGTGGCGAGCACGGCAAGGGAGGTGATTCTGCTCTGCTCTGGTGAGA